ATCAGCAGGAGAGGACTCTTTAAAGTAGAGAAACTACATGCGATATACACCTGGAACATCAGCAGGAGAGGACTCTTTAAAGTAGATGACACTACATACTGATATACACCCTGAACATCAGCAGGAGAGGACTCTTTAAAAGTAGAGACACTACATACTGATATACACCTGAACATCAGCAGGAGAGGACTCTTAAAGTAGAGACACTACTGATATACACCTGAACATCAGCAGGAGAGGACTCTTTAAAGTAGAGACACTACATACTGATATACACCTGAACATCAGCAGGAGAGGACTCTTTAAAGTAGAGACACTACATACTGATATACACCTGAACATCAGCAGGAGAGGACTCTTTAAAGTAGAGACCTACATACTGATATACACCTGAACATCAGCAGGAGAGGACTCTTTAAAGTAGAGACACTACATACTGATATACACCTGAACATCAGCAGGAGAGGACTCTTTAAAGTAGAGACACTACTGATATACACCTGAACATCAGCAGGAGAGGACTCTTTAAAGTAGAGACACTACATGCTGATATACACCTGAACATCAGCAGGAGAGGACTCTTTAAAGTAGAGACACTACTGATATACACCTGAACATCAGCAGGAGAGGACTCTTTAAAGTAGAGACACTACATACTGATATACACCTGAACATCAGCAGGAGAGGACTCTTTAAAGTAGAGACACTACTGATATACACCTGAACATCAGCAGGAGAGGACTCTTTAAAGTGAGACACTACATACTGATATACACCTGAACATCAGCAGGAGAGGACTCTTTAAAGTAGAGACACTACTGATATACACCTGAACATCAGCAGGAGAGGACTCTTTAAAGTAGATACACTACATACTGATATAACACCTGAACATCAGCAGGAGAGGACTCTTTAAAGTAGAGACAGCTACATACTGATATACACCTGAACATCAGCAGAGGAGGAGGACTCTTTAAAGTAAGGACACTACATGCTGATATAACAACCTGAACATCAGCAGGAGAGGACTCTTTAAAGCTAGAGGACACTACATGCTGATACCACCTGAACATCAGCAGGAGAGGACTCTTTAAAGTAGAGACACTACATGCTGATATACACCCTGCCTACATCGCAGGATGAGGACTCTTTAAAGTAGAGGACACTACATTGCGATATACAACCTGCAACATCAGCAGGAGAGGGCTCATTTAAAGTAGAGACCACTACATACTGATATTACACCCTGCAACATCAGCAGGAGAGGACTCTGTAGGAGAGACACTACATACTGAGAGCACTTAACACAGCAGAGAGGGACTCTTTAACAGTAGAGACACTACTGAATATACACTCTGCACATCAGCAGGAGAGGACTCTTTATAAAGTAGAGAACACTACATACTGATATACACCTGAACATCAGCAGGAGAGACTCTTTAAAGTAGAGACACTACATACTGATATACACCTGAACATCAGCAGGAGAGGACTCTTTAAAGTAGAGACACTACTGATATACACCTGAACATCAGCAGAGGAAGGAATCACTCTTTAAAGTAGAGACTAACTACATACTGATATACACCTGAACATCAGCAGGAGAGGACTCTTTAAAGTAGAGACACTACATACTGATATACACCCTGAACATCAGCAGGAGAGGACTCTTTAAAAGTAGAGATGCTACATACTGATATACACCTGAACATCAGCAGGAGAGGACTCTTTAAAGTAGAGACACTACATGCTGATATACACCTGAACAATCAGCCAGGAGAGGACTCTTTAAAGTAGAGACACTACTGATATACACCTGAACATCAGCAGGATGAGGACTCTTTAAAGTAGAGACACTACATGCTGATATACACCTGAACATCAGCAGGAGAGGACTCCTTTAAGTAGAGACACTACTGATATACACCTGAACTCAGCAGGAGAGGACTCTTTTAAAGTAGAGACAACTACATACTGATATACACCTGCACATCAGCAGGAGAGGACTCTTTAAAGTAGAGACACTACATACTGATATACACCTGAACATCAGCAGGAGAGGACTCTTTAAAGTAGAAGACACTACATACTGATATACACCTGAACATCAGCAGGAGAGGACTCTTTAAAGTAGAGACACCTACTGATATACACCTGAACATCAGCAGGAGAGGACCTCTTTAAGTAGAGACACTACATACTGATATACACCTGAACATCAGCAGGAGAGGACTCTTTAAAGTAGAGACACTACATACTGATATACACCTGAACATCAGCAGGAGAGGACTCTTTAAGTAGAGACACTACTGATATACACCTGAACATCAGCAGGAGAAGGACTCTTTAAAGTAGAGACACTACATACTGATATACACCTGAACATCAGCAGGAGAGGACTCTTTAAAGTAGAGACAATACATACTGATATACACCTGAACATCAGCAGGAGAGGACTCTTTAAAGTGGAGACACTACATACTGATATACACCTGAACATCAGCAGGAGAGGACTCTTTAAAGTAGAGACACTACATACTGATATACACCTGACATCAGCAAGGAGAGGACTCTTAAAGTAGATACTACATACTGATATACACCTGAACATCAGCAGGAGAGGACTCTTTAAAGTAGAGACCTACATACTGATATACACCTGAACATCAGCAGGGAGAGGACTCTTTAAAGTAGAGACACTACATACTGATATACACCTGGACATCAGCAGGAGAGGACTCTTTAAAGTAGAGACACTACATACTGATATACACTGAACATCAGCAGGAGGAGGACTCTTTAAAGTAGAGACACTACATACTGATATACACCTGAACATCAGCAGGAGAGGACTCTTTAAAGTAGAGACACTACATACTGATATACACCTGAACATCAGCAGGAGAGGACTCTTTAAAGTAGAGACACTACATACTGATATACACCTGGAACATCAGCAGGAGAGGACTCTTTAAAGTAGAGACACTACATACTGATATACACCTGAACATCAGCAGGAGAGGACTCTTTAAAGTAGAGACACTACATCTGATATACACCTGACAATCAGCAGGAGAGGACTCTTAAGTAGAGACACTACTGATATACACCTGAACATCAGCAGGAGAGGACTCTTTAAAGTAGAGACACTACATACTGATATACACCTGAACATCAGCAGGAGAGGACTCTTTAAAGTAGAGACACTACATACTGATATACACCTGGACATCAGCAGGAGAGGACTCTTTAAAGTAGAGACACTACATACTGATAACACCTGAACAGCAGCAGGGGAGGACTCTTAAAGTAGAGACACTACATACTGATATAACACCTGGACATCAGCAGGAGAGGACTCTTTAAAGTGGAGACACTACCTACTGATATACACCTGAACATCAGCAGGAGAGGACTCTTTAAAGTAGAGACACTACATACTGATATACACCTGGACATCAGCAGGAGAGGACTCTTAAAGTAGAGACACTACATACTGATATACACCTGAACATCAGCAGGGGAGGACTCTTTAAAGTAGAGACACTACATAACTGATAACCACCTGAAATCAGCAGGGGAGGACTCTTTAAAGTAGAGACACTACATACTGATATACCCTGGACATCAGCAGGAGAGGACTCTTTAAAGTAGAGACCTACATACTGATAAACACCTGAACATCAGCAGGGGAGGACTCTTTAAAGTAGAGACACTACATACTGATATAACACCTGGACATCAGCAGGAGAGGACTCTTTAAAGTAGAGACACTACATACTGTATACACCTGAACATCAGCAGGGAGGACTCTTTAAAGTAGAGACACTACATACTGATATACACCTGGACATCAGCAGGGAGAGGACTCTTTAAAGTAGAGACACTACATACTGATATACACCTGAACATCAGCAGGGGAGGACTCTTTAAAGTAGAGACACTACATACTGATATACACCTGAACATCAGCAGGAGAGGACTCTTTAAAGTAGAGACACTACATACTGATATACACCTGAACATCAGCAGGAGAGGACTCTTTAAAGTAGAGACACTACATACTGATATACACCTGAACATCAACAGGAAATTACCAACACTGTATGTCATGAACTGGTGACTCGTGAAATTACCAAAATGTGTGAATAGGTCACGCTGCTGTTCAGACAGACCTGTATCCAGTTAGACTCAAACGACAAGTAATCCAACCGCCGTCACACAGCCGGGCAGCCAAGCATGAGTGTGTGTGTGTGTGTGTGTCTGTGTGTGTGTAGAGCACAGCCACTATTGGCGAGCTGTCAGCTGCTCAAACACACACACACACACACACACACACACACACACACACACACACACACACACACACACACCCTGACTTGCAGCAGCCCCCTGGAGTCTGTCAGGGAAAAACGGGGGAATAAAGTATGTGTGTGTGTGTGTGTGTGTGTGTGTGTGTGTGTGTGTGTGTGTGTGTGTGTGTGTGTGTGTGTGTGTGTGTGTGTGTGTGTGTGTGTGTGTGTGTGTTGTGTTCGTCAATGTGTATGGGTCTGCAGGTGGCAGAAAGGTGTGTGTGCCGATCAATAATAATCAGCTGCAGTAGAGCTGGAAGTTCACACAACAGAGACTCAACTCAAACACACACACGCACAAATACACACTCAAAAAACAATCTATGCACCTCCTGACACGGCATTGTAATCCACACTATAGTCTCTCACACACTCACACACCACACACACACACACACACACACACACACACACACACACACACACACACACACACCACACACACACACACACACACACACTCAAAACAACCTCAAACAAAAGCGCTTACTCACTTTTAAAAAGTACGCACTCAAAAATGGCTGCGTCTAATTTTATCGATTTTCCACACACACCTCCACACCTTCATCTTCCTCCCCCCTCCTCCTCCTCCTCACCCTCCCCCCCCCCCCCCACACACACACACACACCTCCCCTCTCTCTCCTTACCTCTGTGAAGTGCTCTTAATGATGTCGGAGACTTTCTGGATGTAATCGGTAGCGAGCACCACGATCTCTTCGTCTTCTGATAAGTTGTCGTGGAAGATTCTGTCCAGCAACCGTTTCCAGTGAAGCTGAGGAGAGAGGAGGACGCATTTAGTTTAGAGACAGGTCAACATTTCAATAACAACAACCCGACTGTACATACTTACACGTTTAATCCAAATGTACAACAGCGTGAGGCAAATCCATCACTTTTTAAAGTCCCATTTAACCTATATGTGATGACTGTCTCTCATCGTTACTGACTTATATGTAATCTTTAAGGCCAAAGCGCACTTCATCGAGAGCTCAGTATCCATACATTTGGTTTAAAAGATATTTCATGAAGTCTAATCCACGAGTATTGTTTGAATGTTTTTCTTTGTTTTGACTGGAGTGTTGATTTGTTGGATGTTGTGCACTGATGGGTTATGTTCTGATCTGCATCTTGTTATGTTTTCTTTCCTTTATGTATTTGTTTGTTTAAGTTTAAGGGAGGCTCACATGTCTTATTTATCTCTTTTGGGGGATTGTATGCAGTCGTATGCATGTGCAAATATATATTTGTTTAATTGCTTTAAAGGGTTATTTAGATAATTGACATTACATCTAATACTTTTTTGTTTTTTGTATTTATTTTCTCACTTCCAAACAATGATTTTGATGTTTTTCTTTTTGGCGTTCTTTTGGAAATCTGATTTCCTTCACATTGATTTGACATTTTGAGCGACTGAGTCTTTTGAACTCCACACTTAAATTACAGCAAGTAAATATCAAGAACACACTGAAGCCATCTTCATCCTCTAATCTATTTCTTTCCATGCTTCAAAAGTAATTGTGTTTGTGTATTTTCTTTCAGGCTGACAAGTTGAAGACTCTCTCCCTCTAAGAAAAAGCCATGATTTCCTCTCTTTTCATTTCTCATCCATCCCTCCCCCGACCATAAAGCATGGTGAAGATTTTAAATCATTGTTCCCTCTCCTCTTCCTCCCCCATTGCTTGTCTCTCCTCCTATCTCTCTCCATCATTTCTAACCCCCTCAATATCTCATTATTTCCCCCTTTTCTCTCTACCTCCTTTTTTTATTCTGGACCTCAACCTCCCCGTCTACCGCTGCAGGGCGGACAGCTTCTGTGAGTCACTTAGGCCTCTATCTGTGTGTGTGTGTGTGTGTGTGTGTGTGTGTGTGTGTGTGTGTGTTGTGCCCGACCACTCCCTTCCTCCCTAACACACACACACACACACACACACACACACACACACACACACACACACACACACACACACACACACACACACACACACACACACACACACACACACACACACACACACACACTCGCCACGCCACTTAAAATGCTCTGTTGGACTTCAAATCTTAATCCATCATGTCTGCTCCTAAACAAAGTGCATTTCACATACTTGTAATTGATGGGTATGTATACAGTTCGTGTGTGTGTGTGTGTGTGTGTGTGTGTGTGTGTGTGTGTGTGTGTGTGTGTGTGTGTGTGTGTGTGTGTGTGTGTGTGTGTGTGTGTGTGTGTGTGTGTGTGGCACTCACACTTGGCGCGATGTTCTGTAGCTGCCGGAGGGTGATGCGGTTATACATGGTGCTGATGTCCTTTCTTTGGTCATCATATTCTGACACAGTGATCTGAAAAGAAAGAGTAGTGTTTTAATTCAAACACACACACGCACACGCACACACACACACACACACACACACACACACACACACACACACACACACACACACACACACACACTCAGCTCACATTTGCCAGGCGTGTCTCCAGATGTATAATCTCCTTGGACTTCTGCGTGGCGTTGTGAGCTCCCAGCATGCTTAGCAAACGCTCCATTAGAGCCTTGTACGCTGCCAGGATCTGAAGAAAAAAGCACAACGACATCAGCGCTAATAGAGGAGCCGGAGCTCATCAGTAATGGACGCTGACACAGTGACATGTGGCAGAGTGGACGGGATAACAAAAGCACAGCGGGCGACAGAGGGAAAAACAGGTGGATTGATGGGAGAGGAGAGGGAGGGGAGGAAGGGAAGGATTAAAGGAGGGGAGGCAGGAGAAAGGGAGTCAAAGTGAAGTCAAGTTTGAGGTAAAAGAGAAAGTCGGGAGAAAAAGGAAAGAAACTGCACATTTTGGATCTGAAAGGTGAAGCTAATGTGGAAAATACCTTAAACCTGCATTCTCTGGTTACCAAAAGTCTAATTGCATAGAAGTCTATGAGAAAATAGGCCTACTTCTAACTTTATTTATGAACAGAAACGTTTGGGTCTGAAAGTGAAGCCAATGACAAAAATACCTTAAACCTGCATCATCTCTTATATCCAGCAGGGGGCAACACGTCTAATTGTATAGAAGACTATGAGAACATTACCATACTTCTCATTTGTTTATTAACTCAGTAAACATTTTCCTGATGAGTTTATTGACTTGATCTCTTCATTACATTATGGTTCATTTAGTATTCATATTTAGAGTAAAATATATATAAATAAAGATTTGGGGCTACCTGTGATTGACAGGTCGTTTTCCCACAGCATTGTTTAATTGGGGGTTTGTCTTACAACTTAAGAAGAGAAGCAGAAAACTCAAATTGTGTAGAAGTCTATGAGAAAGTGACTCTATTTCTCACACGATTTATTAACTCAGTAATACGAGTAAATGGACTTGATCTCTAGTTTAGGGGCTTCTTCATTACAGCATAGGGCTGCACGATATTGGAAAAAACTGACATTGCGATTTTCTTCCCCCCTGCGATATGAAACCATACAGGAATTGAAGAAAATACGTTTTTTTTTGTCTGCAAACCATCCTTTCTTGAACTTTAATGCTATACAATTGGTATTTTTTTAACTATATTTAACCGGATGAAGGATTTTAGTCACGGACGTCTGGATCTTAAGTTATCAGAGCAACGAGCTGAGCTAGCTCGGTTAGCAGCGCCGAACTGCCCTGGAGAAACACAGGAAACGACTTTATTCAGTGTTTCTACCTTTAATCACGGGGTCCGTTTGCTTTGGAGATGTGATTGGTGGTTTGCTGTCACTCACTCAAGTACCCCTGACATGAGAGCCGCGCAAGTTTTCCTTTTGTAGCAAGCAGCAAAATAATTGTAACATGACGTGTTTGAGTTCATTTGCCTGCTTAATATCGCAAGTCTTAAAAAATAAAATCAAGAATCTTTTTTTTTAAATCGTCACGTCCTGCGATGTGAATATCGCGCATGCGCATATCGCGGTTTTCGTCACGACACGATATATCGTGCAGCCCAAATACAGCATGATGTTTATTTGGTAAATGATGGCCGCATTTCAAGTACAATTGATGATGAAGCTGATTTAAGGGCGCGGCACATTTGTGATTAACAGAAGAATTAAGAAAGGAAATAAATAAGAGAAGTTGAACCAAAAGAAAAGGACTAAAAGGTGAATCCAAGCGTGCCTAAAGCATGTGTCTTCCACATTGTACTTGTTTGACCATTGGACTTGTTGATAAAAAACATAATATCTTAGGCCTTGAGATTGGGCCTCAGTCCAGAGCTCGGAACAAAAACCTAAATTGAACTTCCTTAAGCTTTTTAACCATCCCAAAAATCTAGTGTCTTTTGGTTTTGACCTTCTCAAGTATACAGAATATCCACTTGAAGGTGTCAGAGCTCTAACTGAACACAGTATTTAAATGGAAATGGAAATGTGCTGTAACTCTCATCTCTTAAACTTTTCACAAGGAAGAAAGAACAAGACTTTCTAACCGGCATTTATCTAAATCTCCAATAGTGTCTGGTTTCTTTCTCTTTGAAATGTATCTCACATTCGTCCATCTTTATCTTATCTCTCATGGTGCTTCTCCTCTGGTGCCAAACACAGGTCAGATTGTATATAGTCTTTCAGAAAATGACCTTACTGCTCACTTGAGTTAATACAGTAAACATTTTCCCGATCACTCTTTGTTTTCAAGATATCAAATGCTTTGGACCAGATTATATCCGTTTGCTCATTTCCATCTGCAGTCCCTTGGCACATTCAATTTTATAATAGCATCTTGTTCAACGTTTGGTTGTACTTCGCTCGACCCTCCAGTCGCTTCTGGTTACAAAAACAAAGATGGAGATGGTGTCAGGATTCTTATGTTATGTCACGTTTGTAGTTTTGTATGTTGGGTTTATTTTGCTGTTCTCCCCGTCTTGTTTTCTTCCTGGTTTATTGTCTGGTCCTTCTCCCTGTGTTTTCCTCCTGTCGTTAGTTTCCCTGGTGTGTCTAGTTGTCTGATTGTGTTCACCTGTTGCCCTTGTGTATTGTCTGGTCCTTCTCCCTGTGTTTTCCTCCTGTCGTTAGTTTCCCTGGTGTGTCTAGTTGTCTGATTGTGTTCACCTGTTGCCCTCGTGTTTCTCCTCCCCTGCCCGGCTGTTTCTCGTCTCGTGATTACCCCTCCCTGTATTTAGTCTCTTCCTGTGTTCGGTGTTGGTTCGTCTTTTGTTTGTGATTGTGTTCACCGGTGAGAGTTCTGTTTTGTCAAAGTTATTTTTATTTTATCCTTGAAATAAAGGCTTTTTTCAGCGTTATCTGCATTTGGGTCCTGCTTGCTTCACTCACCGTAACAGATGGTGATTCAAAAAAAGATATCAACGACCAAAACACTAATCTCGAGGCTTGAAAATTGTCTTTCCACAAACCAATGGTTGAGGTTAAAGTGACTTTGACCAATTATTGTATACAGTGAATAGCAAGAATGTAGATAAAAGAAAGGGACTAGAAAGAAATGATAAATGTTTGGATAAGAAACTGGAAATAAAACGAATATAGGAATGGAGAAAACAGAGAAGTGAAAAGAAAGTCTGGATACATTTATATAGTTGTTGACGCTACTAGAAAGTTCTTGAACGTTGTTGAAGTTACTTGAGAGGAAGTGAAGGGGCAGGGGTGGGAACAAGTTTAGCTTATTTATGTAAATCTATTTTCTTTTTCCCATAGTGTTACTTCAGGTTAGTGAAAACAGGGGATTTTGGAGAATTTAGTGTTGTTATCGATCCAGGAGTAGGTGGTAATGACATTGTATTTGTAATACCAGTTTATCGCCACATGTACGAGGAATTTGACTTGGTGTTGTGGTGCATAAAAGTAAAACAAAGCAAAAATTAAAAACACAGATAGAGAACTTTTTTAAGAAAACTATAATAACATTAAAAAATATATAGCAGTATTTACATTGACATATAATTGGAATACAATAGGTGCAGTAATAAAAAACAAGATATTGTGTACATTGAGTGCATTAATGTATTGCATAGAGTAAAAACCAAAGAAGAAGAAAAGGTAGAAATGGGAGACTGATGGAAGTAAGGAAAGGTGAGGAGGAGAAGAAGCAGAAAGTATTTTCAATGTAGTGTTTTGTTTATGTCTGTTACGTATTTACAAAACAATTTAAAATAAAG